TGGCCCACACTCATGCTTCTTTTCTGCTCACAGGACTCACACAGCTGAGGTCCTGCTGTGGCCCCGCTGCAGATTTACCCACTTATTCAAGCTGAATACTTGGTGCCCCAGCTTGTCCCACAGTGAGGACCGTGGGGCTCGGAGATGCCCCTGCAGTGAAGGGGAGGGGGAGCTGGGTCCTGAACTGGGCTTTGTTGGCTTCAGGGAGGGTTTCTGCTCCTGGCTGCTCAGCTGTGCTGCTTCTGCAGCCCTGAGCGTGTGGAGCCCTGCACCCGCAGACTGCAGAGTGGGAGCCCTGCACCCACGGGCTATGGAGTGGGAGCCCTGCACCCAGGGGCTATAGAGTAGGAGCCCTGCACCCACAGGCCACAGAGTGGGAGCCCTGCACCCAGGGGCTGCAGAGTGGGAGTCCTGTACCCACAGGCCGCAGAGTGGGAGCCCTGCACCCAGGGGCTGCAGAGTGGGAGTCCTGTACCCACAGGCCACAGAGTGGGAGCCCTGCACCCAGGGGCTGCAGAGTGGGAGCCCTGCACCCACAGGCTACATAGTGGGAACCCTGCACCCAGGGGCTGCAGAGTGGGAGTCCTGAACCCACAGGCCACAGAGTGGGAGCCCTGCACCCACAGGCTACATAGTGGGAGCCCTGCACCCACAGGCTACATAGTGGGAGCCCTGCACCCACAGGCTACATAGTGGGAACCCTGCACCCAGGGGCTGCAGAGTGGGAGCCCTACACCCAGGGGCTGCAGAGTGGGAGTCCTGAACCCACAGGCTATAGAGTGGGAGCCCTGCACCCAGGGGCTGCAGAGTGGGAGTCCTGTACCCACAGGCCACAGAGTGGGAGCCCTGCACCCAGGGGCTGCAGAGTGGGAGTCCTGTACCCACAGGCCACAGAGTGGGAGCCCTGCACCCACAGGCTACATAGTGGGAGCCCTGCACCCAGGGGCTGCAGAGTGGGAGTCCTGAACCCACAGGCTATAGAGTGGGAGCCCTGCACCCAGGGGCTGCAGAGTGGGAGTCCTGTACCCACAGGCCACAGAGTGGGAGCCCTGCACCCAGGGGCTGCAGAGTGGGAGTCATGTACCCACAGGCCGCAGAGTGGGAGCCCTGCACCCAGGGGCTGCAGAGTGGGAGTCCTGTACCCACAGGCCACAGAGTGGGAGCCCTGCACCCAGGGGCTGCAGAGTGGGAGTCCTGTACCCACAGGCCACAGAGTGGGAGCCCTGCACCCAGGGGCTGCAGAGTGGGAGTCCTGTACCCACAGGCCACAGAGTGGGAGCCCTGCACCCACAGGCTACAGAGTGGGAGCCCTGCACCCACAGGCCACAGAGTGGGAGCCCTGCACCCACAGGCTACAGAGTGGGAGCCCTGCACCCACAGGCTACATAGTGAGAGTCCTGCACCCACAGGCTACAGAGTGGGAGCCCTGCACCCACAGGCCACAGAGTGGGAGCCCTGCACCCACAGGCTACAGAGTGGGAGCCCTGCACCCACAGGCCGCAGAATGGGAGCCCTGCACCCGGGGGCTGCAGAGTGGGAGTCCTGCACCCAGGGGCTGCAGAGCGGGAGCCCTGAACCCACAGGCTATAGAGTGGGAGCCGTGCACCCACGGGCTGCAGAGTGGGAGCCCTGCACCTGCAGGCTGCAGAGTGGGAGGAAGCTCAGTCTTCCTGCGGGGAACGAGGTACTCACTAGTTCATTCTGGATTTTGCTTCCCAATGGCTGAGGCTCCAGCCTCAACCAGCAACCCCGGGCTCCTCCGCATGGGCAGTCTTGGAAGTTCATCGTCCTTGTCAGGTGCAAGGCTGAACCCTCCCCGCCCCCACCCTGAGGCCATCCTGGTTTCTCAACCTAATTTTATGAAACCACTCCCACCTCTTAATGGACTTTCCACACTTTCCCTTTCCTGTCCCTCCTGCCCCCATGCAGTGGAGCTCACAGAAATGATGGTTCCTGTTTTCAATTAAGCACTGTCCTAGCTGAGGCTACTTTGCTTCCCAAGTCCCGTTTCTTATACCTTGTGCTGATGGCACCTCTGACACCATCAGATCTGGTAGGAATAGGCCTCCTGTCGATGAACAGAAGCCTGATCACCTTTCCAGGAGACTTGGAGCTCAGGCCTTGGGAGCTGACTGAGAGGCCAAGGCTCTTGATTGAGAAAATTTCTTGGGGAGAAACCCACACTTGAGGCTCTCCATTGTCTGCCGTCTACACAGTGAGGCCAACCTGGGGATGGAGCCCCTTGTACCCCTGATCTTGTCCAGATTCCTTCCCTGTGTGAGCCGGGGCTTCCTGGCTCCGAGAGGTCCCCCATCCCCACCCCTCTGCTGCAGACTATGCTCCTGATGAGCCTCCCATGGAATATTCCCCTCAGTAACAGCTGGGGGTGCTCACATTCTAAAACACACAGACAGCACATGTATGTATACATGACATGTGCACACGTGTATGTATTCACATTCGCATAGATTTGCACATGTGTGTGTGTGACTTAGATGAAGCAGTTCAGAGGAAGGGATTACTAGTCACACAGTGCAGGTGTGTGTGCTGCAGGCTGTGGGACGGCACAGGAGAGCAATTCCTGAATATCGTCTTATTTACAGTCAGTGTCGTGGGATTGTTTGCAGAACAAGGGATGCGCTGTGCTTTGCGTGCTGTTTTCGCACACAGTGAGGTGCTCAACAACCTTGAAACTGAGTCAGTCTCTGCTGGCCACATTTCTCTGTGATTTGAGTCCCAGGTTTGTCACTGGGTCCTGCCCAGTGGGAAAGTCCCCAGCACGGGACCCTTGATCCAAACCTGGGATTCTTCCTGGTGCTGCTTTCTCACTCCTCCCCCTTCCCATTTGCTTCCTTCCAGTCCTGCTGAAGTCCTGGCCTTCCCACTGCCCTGGTGACAGTGCAGCTCCACCACCATAGCTGCCACCTTCCCTGTGTCGTCAGCATGTGTAGCATTGCTCCTTGTTGGATGAGTGACAAGACTTTGTGCCAGGAGAGTCCAGGGATGGGAGCTCTCTGTTTCTCTTTTAAATAAATTAAGAAAATTAACATGCAGATGTCGAGTTGTGTGTGTGTGAAACCGCAACCTCTTTAGCATCTCTCCAGATGCTGTTCCAACTGAAACTCCAGTCGCTGGTTCCTGAGAACCATTCCTTTCCCACTACAATCTAGGCTCTAGACAGTATCACATTCCTCCCTTCTACCTGTTGTAAAAGGAAACATCTTTGTATTTATGTGGTAATTTTTATAAACTCAGTCATCTGTGAGGATATTTCTAGTGTTTATAAGTCAGTTCTTGGGAAATCATGTGTTTTCCTGTGCTTGCTGATTCAACGTTGTTACTCTTACTACCGTTTATGGGTATTTCATTTTTTTAAATATTTATTTTCATTTGTTTGAAAGAAAGTTACACACAACAAAGACACACATGCACACATAGCACACACACAGGTAGAACAAGAACTTCCATTTGTTAGCTCAATCCCCAAATGCCTGCATCAGCTGGGGCTGGGCCAGGCTGAAGCCAGGGACACAGAACTAAATCCACGTCTCCCATGTGGGTGGCAGGGTCTCAGGTACTGGAGGCATCACCTGGTGCCTTTCCAGGGTGTGTGCAAGCAGGGAACTGGGATAAAAATGGAGCCAGGACCTGAACTCCAGCTGTGCGAATGGGATGTGGATGTTCCACAAAGCCACTTATCCACTGCATCTAACAACCGTTCAGTTACAGACATCTCACCAGTTTTTTTTTAAAAGATTTATTTATTTACTTGAAAGAGTTACACACAGAGAGAAGGAGAGGCAGAGAGAGAGAGAGGTCTTCCATCCTCTGGTTCACTCCCCAGGTGGCTGCAACAGCCGGAGATGTGCCGATCTAAAGCCAGGAGCCAGGAGTTTCTTCTAGGTCTCCCATGTGGGTGCAGGGGACCAAGGACTTGGGTCATTTTCCACTGCTTTCCCAGGTCATAGCAGAGAGCTGGATTGGAAGTGGAGCAGCCAGGACTCAAACCGGCACCCATGTGGGATGCTGGTACTGCAGGTGGTGGCTTTACCTGCTATGCCACAGCACTGGCCCCCTCACCAATTTTTTAAAATAAAAGTATTAACCATGATAGGCATTCAACTGCCTTGAGCTTTTCTGCTTTTGTTTCACCTGTAGATCTCTCTGGTAGCCATCTTAGAGAGCGTGGCTTTGTTTAATAAGCAGTTGGGTTGACTCCTGTTCTGCCTCATAGCTGGGCTGGCCAAGCCTATGAGATGTAGGATCATCAGAGAAAGACAAGAACAGAACTTTGGTTGCCTTCTTAGGGCAGCTGTGAGAGCTCAGAGTGAGGACATCTGTAATGTGTGATTTGTTTGGCGTGGGGATAGCAGTGGGGCTACACCTTGGCCACTCCTCCCTGCCCAGGCTCTGACTGCTGGGTCTGAATGTGTGTGAGGCACACAGGGGAGTTTCTCCCCCAGGTTTTCTGCCCAGGACCTGCCTGTTCATCCTATGGCACTCATGTTCCTGGCTCTGAATCCAGGACAGGTGGGCTTCGTCTGGCTCCTTTGTTTGTATTTGTCCTAGCTTAAGAACACCTGTCAACATGCACAGTGGGGCGGATAATCCTGATCCTAGATCAGGCAATGACCACAGGGCAAATGTGCTCTCCAGGGCCATGGGCACCGTTGAGGGGTCGAGTTGTGGCCAGGGAGTCTTCCATCTGCTGCCCTCTCTGCCTGCAAGACTTGTGGGGACCTCACCGAAGACTTTTCTTTGAGTGGGATTCATTTCTCCAGCTGGATTCTCAGAGAAACTTTTACTCATTTTTTTTATTGCATAAGAGTTTGTCCTTGTTTGTTTACTTATTTTGCTCAGCCAAGTTCTCCCAAGTTCATTGGAATGACACATATATACTCTATCTCAAGAGCAGACACAATGGAGGAGGGGGCTGTACATGAGTGCTGCTTTAGAATATTCATGCTGTCCTGCATTACTTGTCTATCAGGTCCTGATGACGACCTCATGAATCTTGGCCAAATGAGCAGCATGATCCTGGGTTCCCACTGATGAAGAATCTGCAGTAGGCAAAGTTCCTCAAACACCATCGACAGAAAACCCCCGAACAACACTTTGTGGCTTCCTAAGTAGTGGTAGAGGCTCACGGGCTGGGGCTCCAGGGGAGTTGGAGCTGGGGACACAGCAGGATTTGTTACTCTGATAGGAATCAGGGTGGCCACAGCCATGGCTCAGATCAAGTGTCCAGGGCCCGAGGCCTGGGGTGTCTCTCAGCTCTGGCCCCTGTCTCCTCGGGAACTAGCATAACTCAGGTGCCTTGGCTTGCAGGCCAACGCGCCAGGGAGAACAATGGCAAGAGCGCTGACTGCGTATCACTGCTGCTGGGTGAGGTGAGAACACAGAGGTGAAATCCACAGAGGGATGGTGGGCTCCCAAGAGACCCCGCTTGCTGGAGGGTGCTCCTGTCAGTGTGGGTAACTGTTCCTGGCAGGAGAGATGGACGGGACCAACGACAGCAGCCTTGGGGACTTCATCCTGGTGGGCTTCTCCCACCACCCCCTTCTGGAGAGGGTCCTGTTTGCGGTCATCCTGATTGCCTATGTGCTGACCCTGGTGGGCAACAGCGCCATCATCCTGGTGTCCCGGCTGGACCCGCACCTGCACACCCCCATGTACTTCTTCCTCACCCACCTGTCCTTCCTGGACCTGAGCTTCACCAGCAGTTCCATCCCCCAGCTGCTCTACAACCTGAGTGGGCAGGACAAGACCATCAGCTACGCGGGCTGCTCCATGCAGCTCTTCCTGTTCCTGGCGCTGGGGGGCGTGGAATGCCTGCTCCTGGCCGTCATGGCCTACGACCGCTTCGTGGCCATCTGCAGGCCCCTGCACTACTTGGCGATGATGAGTCCCAAGCTCTGCCTGGGGCTGGTGTCCACGGCCTGGGGCTGTGGGGTGGCCAACTCCCTGGCCATGTCTCCAGTGACCCTGAGCCTGCCACGCTGCGGGCACCGGCATGTGGACCACTACCTGTGTGAGATGCCAGCCCTCATCCGCATGGCCTGTGTGGACACGGCAGCCGTGGAAGGCAGCGTCTTTGTCCTGGCGGTGGGCATCGTGCTGTGCCCCCTGGCGTTCATCCTGGTCTCCTATGGCTACATCCTGAGGGCAGTGTTAAGGATGAACTCCTCCTCGGGAAGGCACAAAGTCTTCAACACCTGCGGCTCGCACCTGACAGTGGTGTCGCTGTTCTACGGGAACATCGTCTACATGTACATGCAGCCGGGCCGTGGCAGCTCCCAGGAGCAGGGCAAGGTGCTCACCCTCTTCTACAACATCGTCACGCCCCTGCTCAACCCCCTCATCTACACCCTCAGGAACAAGGAGGTGAAGGGGGCGCTGAGCAGGCTGGTTTTGGCAAAACTAAGCTTCAGGAAGAAGTTGTAATAAGAGCCACAGAGATGAAGTGCTGTGTACAGAACATGGGAGCTTTCATTCTTTTACCGTGATTTCCATCAACAGCATCTGTGCGACTTTGGCAGAGTTCAACAGAGACATGTGGCCACTCTCAGCTTTCTTCTGCATGAATCACTCTGGGCCATGTGAATTCTGACATTCAAAGCCAGCACCCCTGGGTGTGAGCTCTAGGGCCCGTGCTGGTCTAAGGGGGGGGGTTCCCCATAACCCCCAGGGCTGGGTGGGCTCTCATCAGTGTGCAAAGGAGAGAGAGGAATGTGGAAGTGGGGGTTCTCACCTGCACTTCCAGAGATGCTAAACCATCACTTGAGAAGTGAAAATTCCACTTCCATTGCCCAGTGTTTTCAATATTTAATTTGTAATTACTTGAAAGGTAGAGTTAGAGAGAGAGGAGCGAGTGTAGACTGTGCAGTAACAGGTCTCGTTCCAGATCAGAGACCATTTTGATGAGATTCAGCATAAAGGCAGCAGTGTCACTGAAATCTGTGGGGGACTGCCACACTCATGTCCCATTCCAGAGCGCCTGGGTCTGAGATCAGCTTCGTTCGGGACTCCAGCTTCCTGCCCGGGCACAGCCTGGGACACAGCCTGTGTGAGTGAGGGCGCAGCATGCCTGGGACTGAGTCCCACCTCCACGTTCATTCCAGCTTCCTGCTGAGGCAACCAGAAGGCAGCAGCTGATGCTCCCAACAGCCGTGTCGGAGACCCCACACATCCTGGGTGTCCTGGCTTCAGCCTGGCCCAGCCCTAGCTGGATCAGGCATCAGGGAGTGAACCAGTGGCTGGGGGATCTGCGTGTCTGTCTGTTTCTCTCTCTGCCTCTGTTTCTGCCTTTCAAATAAATACATAAAATATATATCAATAAATCTTGTAAGTCTATGATATACTTTCCTTCCCAACAAAGAAAATAGCAATTACATCTCACCTAGTTGAAGGGATTCTAGTATCTCACGGTTTTTACAGGGTAGCTTGCCCATCACCTGAGGTCACAGGAGGTGGAGGATGTGGATGGGATTCCAAGGCACTCGGCAACAGAGATTATTAAGAAGGAAGAGCAGTGGCCCCTCAGGAAGTGCAGTACTGGATGGATGGGAGGCATCATGAGTGCAAGCTGTGTAGTGGGTCATTGCTGTCGTCACTGGTTTTATCAGGCAGACATGAGGAAGTCAACCTAAAAGTACAATTATATGCATACGTATAACCTAAGGACTTATGTATTTATTCCAAAGACAGAGTACTCCCACAGCAAGAATGTGGGCAGAGTTCTTCCTTCTTCTGTTTCACTCCCCAGGCCGCCTCAACAGCAAGGTGGCAGCCTAGCCTGCTGTGCCACAATGCTTCCCTCCAAATGCAATTATACTATGTATATGCAAACAAGTTGCTATGTGCAATTCATCATTGATTCTGTCAGATTGAACATGAGACAGAACAACAAAGCTAAAATCCACTGAGGCTTCATATTTTAGTGGCTGTTTCTGTCCAGAGCTGTAGCATGCTGTTGAAGTTCAGAACAATGCCAGGGCCACATTTCTTCACACTGCGATGTGATTTTCAATAACCATCCCTTCCCAAGAACTTTGGCTTGCGTCTTACTGTTCCCCTAACTTATTTGCTCTGTTTTGGTGAATCACAGCTTTCTGGGGCAGGTAGGAAGTACATCAAACTGGGAAACTTGAAAATCCTCCCAACCCCACTCAAGGTAGAATCTTTGGAGCAGATCCTCAGCTGGGGCATGTTAATGAGACTGTGTTTGTAGCCAAGGCTGGCAAGAGGCCACACGCCTCCATGGAACACTCCAGGGGCTGATGCAAGATGCGGACATGGAGGAGTGGACGCTTGGGGGGGGGGGCAGGAAGACAGTGCCGCTGTGGGATGCGCCCATGTGTCATACCTGTGCGCACACCCTGCTGCCTTCCTAGGATTCAGTGATTGGCTCAGCGTCTTAGCTCCAGAAGCTACATTTCTGCCACTCACTCTCCACAGTGTGGCTGGTTGCTCTCGTCTAGCTGCAGTCAAGAAATAAAGCATCTCCCACTGACAGCCACCCATCAATCTGTCAAGATGACTTACCTCTTAACCACTTCATTTTTTCCCATGGAACATCAATTAATCACTTCAACATTTCTGGTAAGGAATTTAGTTTTCATACCCAATTTTGGCAATAAAATTGGAAAATGCAGAATGGGAAATGATAGAATCTGTGCTAAATTTTCTATGATTGATCCAAGGGTTTTGTTGGAAAAACAAAGGCATTCATCTGTGCCTTCCAGTAGCGTTGAAGGTCAGCGTGAGGTTTAAGGCAGATGTGGCGAAGTCAGCATCACCCGAGTGAAAGGCTCCAGAAACTGCACAAACAGCGCCAGCAAAGCCCCAGCTTCCCGCAGTCCCAGAGAGGAGGAAAAGGAAAACCTGGATTTTCCAGGGCAGACAAATTTCCTAGCCCAGCATCAGGCAGTTTTGAGCCTGTGTCTCCCCCCACCCCTTTTAATTTTTAGGTATTTTAATTGCAAAATAACTCAATTTTTCATTATGAACTTCAACCGCTTTTTTTTTTTTAATTTGTGGTTGACTTTTAGGAATTGTCACTCTTTGTGCTGACACACATTTAACTGGTGGCCAATGGTCTCACTTGTATAATATCGATGGAAAGTGATTTATTAGTAAAATAAATACCGCTATGAAGTCTGACAGAAAGGTGCTGACACCCTACTCAGCTTAAATTGACACATTTATTTGACCTTTCCCTCCAATGACCTGAACATTATTCTATGCAGAATAGGCAATAATTTCATAATGATAGTCACTTTACACATTTATTGCTCATTTAGAAGTATAGATATATCACCTGTCACCATAAAAAATCATGTGCTAATGATTTCCAATTAAAAGTCTCTTGGCCGGTACCGAGGCTCACTTGGCTAATCCTCCGCCTGCAACACCGGCACCCCGGGGTTCTAGTCCTGGTTGGGGCGCCGGATTCTGTCCCAGGTTACTCCTCTTCCAGTCCAGTTCTCTGCTGTGGCCCGGGAGTGCAGTGGAGGATGGCTCAGGTTCTTGGGCCCTGCACCTGCATGGGAGACCAGGAGGAAGCACCTGGCTCCCAGCTTTGGGTCCGTGCAGCGCACCAGCCATAGTGGCCATTTAGGGGGTGAACCAACAGAAAAGGAAGACCTTTCTCTCTGTCTCTCTCTCTCTCTCTACTAACTCTGCCTTTCAAAAAAAAAAAGTCTCTTAAACTTCAGAATAAGAAAATGCTTTTGTGAACCAAAAGCCTTGGTGGTTTTACAATTGTTCTCTAAAACTCACAGATCTCCTTGACGATGTAGGCAGAGTAACTGAAAAGATTGTAGTTTACGTGACATCCTATTTCTTATTGAAATAAGGGTGCTTAGAGACTGCTGACCGCGTCCTCACGGCAGCCCTGTGGGTGCTGAGCGTCTGCTGGCCGGGTCCCCCAGGACAGTGCCTCCGCAGTCTGCCACCATGGACAACGCGAGCTCCACGGCAGACTTCGTTCTCCTGGGGCTCTTCAACCACACGCGAGCCCAGCAGCTTCTCTTTGCGCTGGTCCTGATCATTGCCTTCACCTCTGTGGTGGGCAATGCACTCATGCTTCTCCTGATTGCCCGGGACCGCCGGCTCCACACGCCCATGTACTTCCTCCTGAGCCAGCTCTCCCTCAATGACGTCATGCTGGTTTTCACCACGGTGCCCAAAATGGCTGCCGACTACTTGACCGGAAGGAAGTCCATCTCCCGCACGGGGTGTGGGTCGCAGATTTTCTTCTTCCTGACCCTGGCCGGCGGGGAGAGCTTCCTCCTGGCGGCCATGTCCTACGACCGCTATGTGGCAATTTGCCACCCACTGCGCTACCTGGTTTTCATGAGCTGGCGCTTATGTCTGCAAGTGACCGTGGGGTCGTGGATCCTGGGGGCTGCTGACGGCCTCCTGCAGGCTGCAGTCACCCTGAGCTTCCCGTTTTGCAGGTCACGTGAGATCAACCACTTCTTCTGCGAGGCTCCCGAACTGATGCGCCTGGCTTGTGCCCGCTCATCTGTCTTTGAGTATGCCATGTACATCTGCTGCGTGTTGATGCTCCTGGTCCCCCTCTCCCTCATCCTGATCTCCTACAGCCTCATCCTGGCTGCTGTTCTCCACATGCGCTCCACAAAAGCCTGCAAGAAGGCCTTGGCCACCTGCTCTTCCCACCTGGCTGTGGTGGGACTCTTCTATGGAGCCACCATGTTTGTCTACATGAGGTCCAGGTCCTCCAGGTCAGCCAGCCATGACAAAGCTGTGTCGGCCTTCTATGCCATCTTCACACCCATGCTGAACCCCCTCATCTACAGCCTGAGGAACAGTGAGGTCAGGGGTGCCCTGAGGAAGTGTGTGGCTCAGGGCGTCGCCCTGGCCGGCAGGATTCCATTCCTCTGCCTCTGCTTTTGTGTCTCGGCAAAGTGACTGCATGGGGCTTCCGTAGAATTCTCTGTACCCCCTCTCCATGGGTGTGCCTCGGCTGTCCCCCAGCAGATCCTGGATGCTCAGATGGTGCTGAAGCCTAAACCCGCACACCTTTTCCCTGTGCACATGCACAGGCTGTGCTGTGATGGTGGCAGCTTGTGGTCCTGCGGGGAAACGGACAAAAACTTCTGTTTCCTCCACAGTTTCATAGAAGAGTTTGTTCTATCACAGACCTTCCCAATGTCAGGGTCCATTTTTCTTGTTTCCTTCTTAAGTTGAGAATATTCACCTTTTCTTTGATAAGACTTATTTATTTATTTGAAAGGAACAGCAGGGTGGGAGGGAGAGAGAGAGAGAGAGAGAGAGAGAGAGAGAGATCTTCCATCCATTCCCCAAATGGCTGCAACAGCCGCAGCTGGGCCAGGTTGCAGCTGGCATCCTGGAGCTCCATCCTGGTCTCCCCCGACTCCAGGAGCGCCCATACTTGGAGTATCATCAACTGCCTTCCCAGGTGCATTCACGGGGAGCTGGATCAGCAGCCGAGCACCTGGCGCTGGAATCAGCTCTCCAGGATAGGATGCTGGCATCGCTCAGTGGCTCACTATCTCAGCTGACACTTGCAGGAATCACTTCGTGGATTCTTTGCCGTATGCCAGTGGCCAGCATCTCTTCCCTTGCACCTTAGGGTGCTGACAAAGGCATGTATGGCTGCTTGATGAAAGCACGGCCACATTCCCACAGAGGGTGCAAGAACCCAGACAGCCTCTGGGTGACCAACAATGGGAAGCATATACGGCGTGGATACCTGGTGGCAGGAGGGCTTCATGGCCAGGGCAGGGTGGCGTGGGGCCGAGTGAGAATGCACTTTGCTATCAGATCTACACGCAGTTTAAACTTCACCATTATTTCTGAAAATTTCCTCTTAATACTTCAGAACCACACCTGAGGACAGGCGACTGACAACTCAAGAGCCAAAGCAACGTTATGTGGGCAGGGGTCGAGGGGTGGGCTGCTGGGTGAGCTCGCACATCTGTGTCTGCTCGCTTTCCTTTGCATTGTAGGTGAATTTATGGCCACTCCTTTGCTGAGCTGTCAGACCAAGACAAACTGAATTGGTGTGAATCTAGGAACCACCATTCCTTTGTGAAATGGTCTCTTCCATACCCCAAAATTGATTCTTTGCTCAAGGACTGAGTTAACTCATTGTTCACACTGTTTTGAGGATCCGTGGCTGCCCTTTGTTTCTGAGGGAGGTCTGATTCTCAGGTGGTAGTGTGTCTGAACCTGTGGTGCTGGCAGCACCTGCCCTGGAACCCACTCCTACCCCCAGGAGAAGCAGCGTCCCCCGCCCCAGACAGATCCCA